ACTTGAGTTGGCTTACATATGGCACAAAATGCCTCCAGCCACCCCATCCATCTCCAAGAGGAGATTTTGGAATATTGTGTCCAATTCTGGGCACCACAATTGCAGAGAGATATTGACAAGCTGGAATGTGTCCAGAGGANCAATGGACTGTAAGTATACTGTTTTAATTTTTATGTCTTCATGTTTATGTTTTTCAACTGTTATAATTGCTGTTTTGTATTTTATGATGCAGCATCGAATTGTTGCCAATTGGAAGCCGCTCTTCCTAGACACTCTATCTCTATCGCTATCTCTATCTCTTATCTACTGTAAAATATATAAAACCAATAAAGACTATATATTTTTTTAAAAATGGAAGCCGCTTTGAGTCCCCTTAGGGGTTGAGAAGGGCGGGGTAAAAATGTTCGAAATAAATAAATAAATAAATAAAGCTGACTGGCACAACCTGGGGATCACAACCAGACACAGTGAGGACACCTCCCCTTGCACGTTGCTCCTCTACTGCTGGATACGCATGCCCAATGTGGAACACATCTCACCACGTTAAAACAGTTGATGTGGCTCTTAATGAGACATGCCGCATTATCACGAGGTGTCTGCGCCCTACACCACTGGAAAAATTACACTGTTTAGCTGGTATTGCACCACTTGACATCAGCCGGGAAGTAGCAAACAACAGTGAAAGGACCAAGGCAGTAACATCTCTGGCCATCCCCTGTTTGGATATCAGCCAGCAAGCCAATGCCTTAAATCAAGAACCAGCTTTCTAAGATCTACAGAGATACTCACAGGAACAGCAAGCAAGAATCCAAAAGTGGCAGGCTAAAATCCAGCACCTCAATCAGTGGCTGATACTGAATGAGAGTCTTCCCCCAGACACACAGAAGACTGGGTGACTTGGAAGTCGCTGAACAGACTGGGCTTTGGCACCACGAAATGCAGAGCCAACCTTAAGAAATGGGGCCACAAAGTGGAGTCTGCAACATGCAAGTGTGGAGAAGAGCAAACCACAGATCTCCTACAACAGTGGTTCTCAACCTGGAGTCCCCAGATGTTTTTGGCTTACAACTCCCAGAAATCCTAGCCAGTTTACCACCTGTTAGGATTTCTGGGAGTTGAAGACCAAAAACATCTGGGGACCCCAGGTTGAGAACCACTGACATACAACAATGCAGCCTGAGCCCTGATACATGCACAATGGAGGACCTTCTCACAGTAACACTAGAGGTACTCCACATGGCTATGTCTATGGCCAACACCACTGGAGAAACTATTCTGTTTGGTCAGTATTGGACCACCTGACATCTGTCGGGAAGTAGCAGCCAATAATGAAAGGACCAAGGCAATGACATCTCTGGCCCATCCAGTTTGGCTATCAGCCAGCATACCAATGCCTTAAATCAAGAAACATCTTCCAAAGATCAACAGAGATACTTGCAGGAACACCTCAGCAAGCAAGAATCCAAAAGTGGCAGGTGAAAACCCGGAACCTCAATCAGTGGCTGAGAATGGATGAAAAGCTCCCTCCTGGACACACAGAAGAGGCACTGAACAGACTGTGCTCTGGCACCATGAGTGGCAAAGCTAACCTTAAGAAATGGGGCTTCAAAGTGGAGTCTGCAACATGTGGAGAAGAGCAAACTACAGACCACCTACTGCAATGCAGCCTGAAGCCCTGCCACATGCACAATGGAGGACCTTCTCACAGCGACACCAGAGGCACTCCAAGTGGCCAGCTTCTGCTCAAACGACATTTAGCAGAATGCCAAATTTTAACTTTGTGTTTTAAATACATTTTAACTGTACCCTCAGTTTGCCTCTGACTCGATAAATACAAAAATGGCATCAGAGCCATATCTATGTTTAGAGATCTCGAAACTGGCAGAAGAAAACTGCGATCTAGATCAACCACTTCCTTTCTTGCCTAAGAGCGGAAAATATCGTAAGAGTTTTACAAGGTCAGACAAGGAAGAAAACTGGACACGCACAAGAGGAAAGCTAATGTTTTATTGTTAAAAAGAATAAAAAGTTATTTTCTGTACATTTGTTTTATAAAAAATTACAATATGGCGGATACCGTGTGCACCACAAACACACCCCAATCTCCTCCAGTCAGTCCAATAAATGGCAATAACAGAAGTGCATGATTTGCAGAGGACAAAAATATTATGAGTGAATGTCGAAGGCTTTCATGGCCAGAATCACTGGGTTGTTGTAGGTTTTTTCGGGCTATATGGCCATGGTCTAGAGGCATTCTGTCCTGACGTTTCGCCTGCATCTATGGCAAGCATCCTCAGAGGTAGTGAGGTCTGTTGGAACTAGGAAAAAGGGATGACCAGGGTGAGACTCTTTTCTGCTGGAGCTAGGTGTGAATGTTTCAACTGATCACCTTGATTAGCATATAATGGCCTGACAGTGCCTAGAGCAAACTTTTGTTGAGAGGTGATCTGGCTACTTGACCGCAGTGCCCATTGGTCAAGTAGCCAGATGCGATTGGTCAACTAACCTGGACCCGACCTATTTAGGGCTTTTCCCCCCTTTAAATTGTTTATTTATTTATTCAAATAGACATACAGAGAGCGTTGCGATTCCCTGTGTCGGGTGCCCTAACAAATGAGGTGCCCTAACAAATTTGTGAACATCCTGTGGCTCCTCCATGATGACAAGCCACACCAAACAACAGCCAGGCCATCAAATGCTAATCAAGGTGGTCAGTTGAAACGTTCCACACCTAGCTCCAGCAGACAAGAGTTCTTTGTCGCACCCTGGTCATTCCACAGATATATAAACCCACTTTCCTAGTTCCAACAGACCTCACAACCTCTGAGGATGCTTGCCATAGATGCAGGCGAAACGTCAGGAGAGAATGCCTCTAGACCATGGCCATATAGCCCGAAAAAACCTACAAAAACCCATTATGGGTGAATATTTCCTATCTTCTGGCACAAATGCAGTTAATAACCATACAGAGCTTGTCGGTAGTCATCGTTGAAACAAATGCAATTCATGAACACCCTTTCAATGTTGACCTTGGCAATTTCTTCCCCTTGTTTTACAGTCTGAAGACACATGATAGTTAAGGCCTTTGTCTGATCCAGCAAAGGAATTCTCAACAAAGCTTCCATGATTACAGGGCGGGAGGAAATGCAGAACAGCAACCGTTTGTTCTCACTGGAACAAACTGAACGATAATGCCATTTGAGAGAGTCTTGTTTCAAGCTAAAGAGATCCAATATTGTAACATTTCCTCTGAAGGTTGTTGCTCCAGTTCCATGATCATTTTAGCTTCCTCATTTGCACCTTTTTCTAGCTGTACAATACCCCCTTTTCAGGTGCACAGTCAAGAAACCATATTTCAAAAGAGCTTTGAGTAGATATGGCAAGCATCTTGCCTTTGCAACGTGATTTGTGTTTCCTCCGTTTGGCTGCAGAAGGAAGCTGCAATTGGGCCCAAATGGTTGTGCGGAACATCATTTTGGCAGCTTTTACATATGGAATCATCCCTGTCGGCTCGTTTACATATGGAACCTGACCCTCCTATGCCGTAGTCCGGCACTCAAACCACCAGGTAACACTAGTGCTACAAAACAAATAAAGACCTCGGTGGGAGAGCAACCTAAAGAAATGATGCGAGGAGACTAAGAATGCTAGCTGTGCAATTCACATGAAATAAAGCAAGTAAAGAGCTCTTGTTGAGCATGTCTTTGTGCACAGGCTTCAACCCAAGATTGTCAGTGTATGCAATTTTTCAGTCAATGCTCAGAAGCAGAAACTTGGTATGATTTGCTTCTGGCATGATGAGCAACATAACAAAAAGCAGACAACTTGACAGCGTGCAAATCTGCTGGCTGCCGTTTTTAATCCGTGGAATGCTTTCTAGATACTTTAATGGATACTGGCCGGGTGTAGAAAAAGAAACCAGTGTCAAAACTGCTGAAACAGATCCCACCTTTCTTTTGAAAAGTCTTGTTTTTAAATCCAAACAAATTTTAAGAGTGGTTCTTTGTTCTGAAGAGGTTTAAAAATTCACAGTTTTGAAATATAAAAAGTTTTCCAAAGAATGTGGTGTCAATGTATTGTCGAAGGCTTTCATGGCCGGAACCACTGGGTTGTTGTAGGTTTTTTCGGACTATATGGCCATGGTCTAGAGGCATTTTCTCCTGACGTTTCGCCTGCATCTATGGCAAGCATCCTCAGAGGATGCTTGCCATAGATGCAGGCGAAACGTCAGGAGAAAATGCCTCTAGACCATGGCCATATAGTCCGAAAAAACCTACAACAACCCAATATGGTGTCAGATATATTAAAAATGAACTGGGTATTTTTGATTACAAAAGTGTAAGTCAAGCACTGAAAGAGTTAGTAGGCCAAAGCCTGTTAGAGTTACTGTGGTCCTGAGGAGTGTGAGGTAAACCTCAGTATGAGAGAAAGCCTCATGTGAGAAAGCTCCAGTGTGAAGGCTGCTGTGTGTAAAGCTACTATTTGTGTTATGGAAACCTAGTTCTTGCAAATAGTGCAACCATATTATTTTACTATACAGAAAGGCCTCCTAAGGAAGAGATCACATTTGTCTATGTGTTTTTGTTCTTTTTATCACTTTGGGTTACTGGTGCTAGGTTGTACTACTACTAAAAAGTTACTCTGCTGTACGTTTATAGGGAGAGTCTTTTGTTAATAAGCCAACTTGGACAACATGTAGGTCAACAGAAGATGAGGACCCGCTAAAAAGGCAATTTCTTTGCTCTTGACTTCTCCTACAAGAACAAAATTGTATCAAGATGGAAGGTCAGATCTGATTTTCTGGAGAGATGAGAAGATGACCCACAACAATAGTTCAGATTGTAAAATATATGTATTGTCAAAGGCTTTCATGGCCGGAATCACTGGGTTGTTGTAGGTTTTTTCAGGCTGTATGGCCATGTTCTAGAGGCATTCTCTCCTGACGTTTCGCCTGCATCTATAGCAAGCATTCTCACTACCTCACTACCTCTGAGGATGCTTGCCATAGATGCAGGCGAAACGTCAGGAGAGAATGCCTCTAGACCTTGGCCACGCAGCCCGAAAAAACCTACAACAACCCTGTAAAATATATACTGCATTCCTTACTAATTGTGTCCAATAAAGTCAAATAATACTTTTACTCAGAATCATTGTTATTTTAAAGAGTTGGCTGTTTGCTTCCAATTTATGCAACATTTAAACCATAATTTCTGTAAAATACAATATTGCTGGAAAGCTCCTCTTATGTAAACTGTTTTCTTTTTCATGAATTCTATGCACCCAAATATCAGAAGTCCTGTGACTTGGGTTGCTGCAAACAAACCAACTGGCCCAGAGGGCACCAATGTTATTTGGAACAATATGGCTCAGAGGATCCTAAAAAAATGTAATTGTAAATTAATTTGCTGTCTCCCCACTCCCAGCAGGGCAAAGAACAATCACATCCATTTTGCAAACAAATAAATTGAACCACAGGAGGCAAGTTACGAGTCAATTAGTTCCATGATATAGAAAAAGTGCTCTTGGTTCCGAACACTTCCTTTTTTTCTTGATTTTTCCTTTTGTTATGAAAATACTGTGTATTAAAAACAATCACCAGATGAGCCACCAGATCCAGAAGAGGTAGTAACACAGCATGGGAAGGGGAAGAGGGAAATGTAAGTAGCAGAGAGTAGACTGGCCAATTCCACCACAGAACTAGGAGAAGGGGAAATGGTAGGGAAACATTCCTCTTCTCCTTTTGGGCTTTGGATTAGTAATACACCAGTGATTGAAACCAGAATTAATCTGGAATATTGCATCGAGCCCACCTTGCTTCGAAGGGGGCCTTGGACTGACCCAAGTCATGTGCCAGCAGCAGATCCTGATGCCTTCCTTTGCCTGCAGGCTACAGTTCGTCTCGCAGCTTGGGAGGGTAGTCCATGCCAAAGAAGGAGGACGGCCTCCCCTGTAAGTCACGCTCTCGTTTCACAAAGGCAGTAAAAGAGGAGACACAGTTCCCAATGAAGTGGTCAGACTGACCAAGGATGTACAGGTCTATCTGGGCCACCTCCGGCTGTAAATAAACCACTTTTATCTGAAAAGAGAAAAGAGTGCAGAAGGGTTGTTACTTAAAGATGACACCAAATTGGGAGGGAGAGCCAATACTCCAGAAGACAGGAGCAGAATTCAAAACCATCTCCACAGATTAGGGAGATGATGGGCCAAAACTAACAAATGCAATTCAACAGAGACAAATGCAAGATACTCCGCTTAGGCAGAAAAAAATGTAATGCAAAGATACAGAATGGGAACAATGCCTGGCTCGACAGCAGGACGTGTGAAAAAGATCTTGGCGTCCTCGTGGATAACAAGCATGAGCCAACAATGTCATACAGCGGTTAAAAAAGCCAATGGGATTTTGGCCTGCATAAAGAGGAATATAGTGTCTAGATCAGTGGTTCTAACCTGTGGGTTCCCATGTGTTTTGGCCTACAACTCTCAGAAATCCCAGCTAGTTTACCAGCTGTTAGGATATCTGGGAGTTGAAGACCAAAACATTTGGGGATCCACAGGTTGAGAACCACTGATCTAGATCCAGGGAAGTCATGCTACCCCTCTATTCCGCCTTGGTCAGCCCACACCTGGAATACTGTGTCCAGTTCTGAGCACCACAATTGAAGAGAGATGTTGACTCTAAGCTGGAATGTGTCCAGAGGAGGGCAACCAAAATGATCAAGGGTCTGGAGAACAAGCCCTACGAGGAGCGGCTTTAAGAGCTGGGCATGTTTAACCTGCAAAAGAGAAGGTTGAGAGGAGACATGATAAGGGCCATGTATAAATATGTGATGGGAAGTCATAGGAAGGAGGGAGCAAGCTAGTTTTCTGCTGTCATGGAGACTAGGGCATGGAGCAATGACTTCAAATACAAGAAAGGATATTCCACGTGAACATGAGGAAGAACTTCCTGACTGTGAGAGCTGTTCAGCAGTGGAATTCTCTGCCCCAGAGTGTGGTACAGGCTCCTTCTTTGGACACTTTTAAACAGACACTGGATGGCCATCTGTTGGGGGTGTTTTGAATGTGATTTCTCTGCTTCTTGGCAGAATGGGGTAGGACTGGATGGCACACGAGGTTTCTTCCAACTCTGGAATTCAATTACTATGATTCTAAAGTGCCACAGGACAGAGGAAATGCAAATAAGCAACAGAAGTAGTGGCTGGCCCAAAGTCTCAGCTGCTGACCTCCTCTAAGGTTAGTGGTTCTCAACCTATGGGTCCCCACATGTTTTGTCCCTCAACACCCAGAAATCCTAGCAGCTGGTAAACGGGGGTGATATTACCACATTAATGAACATTCAATTAACGAGCCCCAAGTGGCGCATTGGGTTAAACCCTTGTGCCAGCAGGACCGAAGACCGACAGGTCAGAGGTTCGAATCCGGGGAGAGCACGGATGAGCTCCCTCTGTCAGGTCCAGCTCCCTATGCAGAGACATGAGAGAAGCCTCCCACAAGGGAAGTAAAACATCAAAACATCTGGGCGTCTCCTAGGCAACGTCCTTGCAGACGGCCAATTATCTCACACCAGAAGCGACTTGCAGTTTCTTAAGTCATTCCTGACACGGAAAAAAAACAGTTTCCCTGGTTGGTCCGTTAATAGAAGGAAATTACCTTTTGCTTAAAAAGCTGCTGTATCTCACTGGTGTAGGGTTCCGAATCACTGGCAATGTACACAGCTTTGGCATCGACCTTCTTCACCCAGAGTTTGAGGGCTCGCTTGATCTCGTTCAGGCCTGGCAAGCACATGTCCATGGTGAGTGGTGCAGCAGTGTTCCGATCGTAGCCCACACACTGCGGCGAAGCCATTAAGTGGGACCCGGCTGTGCCATCCTTCAGCATGTTGCATGCGTTTTTCTATCAGAGGAAGAAAATGTCGGAGCATCACCTACAGTCAGAGAGACTTAGGCTTTTCCAGGAGTGCTACTTAGATGAGAAAGGTTTAATCCTTCTTCTTTATATGCTAACAATGACAAAACAAAAACCCACCCTTCCCATGTCTAAAGGGCTATTTTTAAAATACAAACCCACATGGGATTCAAGCAAGGTATTCAGTATACTACATATAGGGTAGCACAGTGGGTTAAAGTGCTAGCTGCAGGAAATCTGCTGATCAGAAGGTTGGCAGTTCAAAGGTGCGAGTCGGGGTGAGCTCCCAACTGTCAGCCCAGCCCCTGCCAACCTAGCAGTTAGAAAACATGCAATGCAACTGGATAAATAGGTACCGCCTCGACGGGAAGGTAAAAGGGCACTTCATACAGATATGCCGACATGCTGGCAACACAATCGGAGGTGTCTATGGACAACAGACTCCTCGGCATGGAAAAATGGAACAAGAGCACCTCCCTATGGCTGGAATTGAGCATTGCCTCCAGACGCCAGACATGGAAAAAGGGGAAGGCATTTTTACCTTTGTCTGTGTTGTATGTTGTTGTTCACTGTGTGTCAGAGTGTTTCTGATGAGGATGATGGGACTCAGGTTCACAGTTTGGTTCAAGATATCCCTGCTATAGATATCCCTGCGATAGACAGTGAAGAAGAAGTGCAGCTTCCCACAGCAAGGCATGAGAGTGTGGAAACTGAAGATAGCAGCCAGGTGCAGATTGATTCCGAAAGAGAGAATAGCTCTTTGCCTAGCTCTTAGCCTGATAATGAGCAAGCAGGAAAACAGGCTGCTAACGAGCAGATTGACCTTGATGATACAGGAACTTTAGATAGGGCCGCCTGGTTGGAATTCCGTGTTTGAAGGAGTGAAAGGATAGCTAACAAGAGGGAGGCCAGAGGCTAAAGAAACGCCTTCATGTTTTGTAAAGGGTATTAAACAGGGGGTTTGAGACCAGATCTTTGTCAAAGCAACTTTCGCGTTTATCTAAGGAGCTTGGCTAAGCTAGGCTGGATTTACCTTGCAGTCTTTGTGTTCATAGTTCCGGGACTTTGTCATGTTCTCTTGGGTCTTGCTTTGCTGATGCCTATTGGATTATGCTTCGAGTGCTATGTTATCCTGATCTTTTGAAACATTACCTTTGCTTTTAAGAACTTTTTACCTTTTATTTTTAATAAACCATAAAGACTACTGGCTGTGTGCAGTTTGGTGTTCTTCAGCAAGGTGATTCTATTCTGAGGTGCAACACATTGAATGTTTGCCTCATATGTGTATATTGTAATCTGCTCTGAGTCCTTCCGGGGAAATAAAGTAGAGTATAAATAAAGTGTATATTATTTATTTATTTTATTGTTTATTTTTCTTGGAAAGCTTTGTTTAGACAAGGAGAAGAGAAAGTTGAGAGGAGCCATGGGAGCCATGTATAAATATGTGAAAGGAGGTCGTAAGGAAGAGGGAGCACGCTCCCTTTCTGGTGTAGTGCTTTGAGTGTTGGACTACTGCTGTTCTATAGGTCAGAAACTACTTAAAGGCACAAAACAACAACAAACGCACCAGTATCTGGAGATGGTTTCTGGCTTAAGTTCTACTTGTAAAATTCCCAGACACATGTGGTCACTATAGCAAACAGATTTTGGGTTAGACAGAATTTTGGTCGGAACCAAAATGGTTTTATGTTCCTAATGAATTAATCCAGGCATGGACAAACTTGGGGCCTTCAGGTGTTTTGAACTTCAACTCCCACAATTCCTAACAGCCTCAGGCCTCTTACTTTTCCCCCTCAGCCGCTTAAGCGGCTGAGGGGGAAAAGTAAGGGGCCTGAGGCTATTAGGAATTGTGGGAATTGAAGTCCAAAACACTTGAAGGCCCCATGTTTGCCCACACTTGGTAATCTCTGGAAGAAACAGCCAATCTATTGCAACAATGACTACATGTCCTACACTGAAGGGAGTCTGTGTTACATAGAATCATACATAAGAAGCATACCCAGTCTGAACCCACACGCAAATGGATTCCCACATAGGGTCTGACCAGGAACGAACGGATGGAAGACTCGCCCTTCTCCACCATTTCATCTGACCACACCATGAACCGATGCAAAGACAGGTACTCCTCCAAAACTGGGAATTGGGCTGAGAGAGGAGGAACCTATCTCAGGATGTTCAGCTGGTGGATATTTTCTTGGTTTAAAAAATGGACAGAAATAAAAGACGCTGGCCATTCGGGGGGGGGGGGGGGAGAAGACAATTGCTGTGTCCCTTGGAAACAGACCCATAATGCCACTTGCTACCTTTGGATCCAGTGGTCCTTGTAAGAGGAACTAAAGGCAAGGCCTCCAAACAACTCTGACTTGTCGAAATCCACTTCAAACTGATCCCAAAACGGGCCAAAGGGGTTTCCATCCTGCAAAAGCAAAGCAAAGTTTTTCAGACCTTTAATGGGTTGAAAAAGCCTCCCTTGGCTTATAACAGGGTCAGGCCGGCCAGTGGAGCCTGGAGGCCATTGCTTTCAATATATGATATATTTCTTATTTATTTTCAACATTGCTACCCTGCCCTTCTCAACCCCCGAGGAGGGACTCAGAGTGGCTTACACTGGCAACAATTTGACAAATATAACAGCAATTTCAAACAATAAATGGAACAATAGATTGAAAACAGTTAAAACATTATTATCACAATCGTATAGCTATTTCCAGTTCAGTTCAACATCCAAAGTGCTGTCATGCCTGCTGTCCAAAAGCCTAGTTCCGAAACCATGATTTCAGTTTCTTCCTAAAGGACAGGAGGGATGAAACTGACCCAATCTTGCTGGGGAGTGAATTCCACAGGCGGGGGGTCACCACCGGGAAGGCCCTGTCTCTCGTCCCCACCAACTGCGTTTGCGAGGCTGGTGGGACTGAGAGCAGGGCCTCCCTGGTGGATCTTAAACTACGAGGCGGAACGTAGAGGGAGATACGTTAGGACAAGTAAGCTGGGCCGGAGCCTTATGGGGCTTTATAGGCCAAGACCAGCACTTTGAATTGTGCTCGGAAGTGAACCGGCAGCCAGTGGAGCTGACAAAACAGTGGAGCTGACATAACATATTTCTCTCTCATCTTCCCCTCTCTAAATAGTGTGTTTTCTTTTCTGATTCTGCTCTGTTTCTCCTCCAGACTGGAATGTTTTGAAAAGGGAAAGGAGGGGGTGAGAAGACCTTGAAAGTCAGGAATATCCATTAATATTATAAAAGCATTTTCCCCTGAAATATTTGTTAATCTCTCCAACAGATATGTAGGCATTTCTCCCTGCAAGCCTTTGCAAACCCTATGTACCTATATATCTGTATCTATCTGTATACATTTTAGATATGAATTTTCCCCTCACATGTTTGCAAGTCTCTGCAAATCCTATATATAGATATCGATAAATATATAGAGGTACTTATATATCAGTATATCTGTGTGGGTGTATGTATATGTGTATATATATAATAATTTTATATATGAATTTTCCCCTCACATGTTTGCAAGTCTTTGCAAATGCTATACAGATATAATTATCTATCTAGATAGATAGATATATGAATACAGATATATAGGGCTTGCAAAAATTTCAGGAGGGAAACTCACATATAGAGAGAGACGATTTGCAAACGTTTCAGGAGGAAATGCAAATGTGAAATCAGTATATAGAATTATAAATCTATATCTAGTTCTGCATTGTTTATATAGGCATTGAACGTTTGCATGTTACTATTTTGGAAGCTGGCCTGAGTCCCCATGGGGAGATAGGGTGGGATACAAATAAAGTATTATTATTATTACTAGCTGTGCCCTGCCACGCGTTGCTGTGGCCTATAGTAAAACTTATCAAAGTTGAGGTAGATATCTGGACTATTATGAAAGAGAGGTACCTACCTATTCCTTTCCCCCTTTTCCTCCCCTTTCTCTCCTTTCTTCCTTCTCTACCTCTTTCTTTCTTTCACTACTTGGTTTCATCCTTCTCTCTTTCCTTCATTCCCTCCCCCTTTCTTCCTTTGCCTTTCTTCCCTCCCTGTTTGCTTCCTTCTTTCACTTTTTATTTCCTTTTATTTTACCACCATCATAACAATAACAATAATGCAATGCATTGCCTCTGGGACCTGACACCTCTCCCATTCCCCCAGGGTCTCATAGGAACAATAGCATAATAATAATAATAATAATAATAATAATAATAATAATAATAATAATAGAAATAACAACCTTTACCCGCCACGTGTTGCTGTGGCCAATCTTCCCTCTTTCTCTCCTTCTTTCCCTCCTTCCTTCCTTCCTTCCCTCCCATCTTTCCTTCTCCTCTCTTCTCTATCTCTTTCCTTCCTTCCCCCTTTTTCTTTCTTTTCTGCTGTCTCTCTTTTCTTTCCTTTCCATCTTTCCTTTTCTTTCCTTTTCTTCTTCCTTCTTTCTCTAACTTTCCTTCCTTCCCCCTTTTTCTTTACCTTCCTTTCTCTTTCTTCCTTCTTTCCTTCCTGTCTTTCCTGGATTTTGACAGGGCGGGAAGGGGCGGGGTGGGGTTTGGAGGTGGCGTGAAGTAAAAGGAGGTAAGATTGGGGCAGGGGAGGGATGGAGCGGGTTGTGTGTGTGTGCGGCGGCGGGGGGAGTGATGGAGCGTGGGGTTGCGTGGGTGTGTGGCGGGGGTGGGGGGAGTGATGGAGCGTGGGGTTGTTGTGTGTGTGCGGCGGGGGGAGTGGGGTGTGTGTGTGGTGGGGGGGGGGGGGGGGGGGGGGGGGGTTGCGTGTGTGCGTGCGGCAGCGGGGGAAGTGATGGAGTGTGGGGTTGCGTGTGTGTGTGCGGCGGCGGGGGGAGTGGGGTTGCGTGTGTGTGTGCGGCGGCGGGGGGAGTGATGGAGTGTGGGGTTGTGTGTGTGTGTGCGGCAGGGTGTGTGTGTGTGCGGGAAGCGGCGCGGCGGGGCTTGGAGTGGGCATGGTTTCCGCAGAGGGAACGTTGGCCGGAAGGCCATGTGCGCGCGCCAGGGAACTTGCGGCTGGGCACCAATGCGCATGCTCAGTTGTTTTGCCGTTTTGTGAGTGTGTTGTTGTGTTGTTTTTCATTTTGAGTAGATATGTTTGTACCTTGTGGGTTGTGTTATGGGCATGGGAATTTTGGTTAAATTTCGTTGGGGTTTTTTTGAGTTTTGTTGTTTTGCCATTTTGTGAGTGTGTTGTTGTGTTGTTTTTCATTTTGAGTAGATATGTTTGTACCTTGTGGGTTGTGTTATGGGCATGGGAATTTTGGTTAAGTTTCGTTGGGGGTTTTTTGAGTTTTTTTTTTGCCGTTTTGAGTGTGTTGTTGTGTTGTTTTTCATTTTGAGTAGATATGTTTGTACCTTGTGGGTTGTGTTATGGCATGGGAATTTTGGTTAAGTTTCGTTGGGTTTTTTTGAGTTTTGTTGTTTTGCCATTTTGTGAGTTTGTTGTTGTGTTGTTTTTCATTTTGAGTAGATATGTTTGTACCTTGTGGGTTGTGTTATGGGCATGGGAATTTTGGTTAAGTTTCGTTGGGGGTTTTTGAGTTTTGTTTCCTCGTTGGATGCCCCTAACAAATTTATATATATAGATTATTATTATTATTATTAAGTTATTGTTGATACCGTATTATTTTTGTTGACCCTACTTTTCTACTTACAGAGCTAGTTTACTGTGTTTCTTTGAAATATGGAAAATATTCAAAAACATTTAACCTATGGATTCTTCAATTAATGTAATTTTATTGGTATCTATTTTTATTTTGAAACCAGCTGTACCCGCTACGCATTGTGGGGCCAACCTTTCCTCCCTCTTTCTCTCCTTCTTTCTTTCTTCTTTCTTTCTTTCTTTCTTTCTTTCTTTCTTTCTTTCTTTCTTTCTTTCTTTCTCCCCTTCCTTCCCTCTTTTTCTTTTCCTTCCTTTTCCCTTCTTCTTTCTTCCTTCTCTACCTGTGTCTTTCCTCCCTTCCTTTGATCTTTGGTTCTTTCCTTTCTTCTCTCCTTCCTTCTTTCACTTTTTTATTTCCTTCTCTCCTTCCTTCATCACTACCTTTCTTTCTTTCCTTCTCTCCTTCTTTCTCTCCCTCCCTCCCTCCTTCCTTCCATCTACCTTTCTGTGTATATGTGTTTTGTCTGTATATATATGCATATATGTGTGTGTATATATGTGGTTTTGAGCGTGTGTTGTAATGTATTTTTGTTCCTTGGCTTTTTAAGTCTTTTCCTCTGTTTTTTTCAGCGTTTTTATGAATGATGGTCACTTGTTGGCCTGTTAGGTGTATTGTGTCCAAATGTGGTGTCAATTCGTCCAGTGGTTTTTGAGTTATGTTAATCCCACAAACAAACATTGCAATTTTATTTATATAGATTTACCAGTAGCTGCTGTATTTCCCATCTTCGGCTTATACTCGAGTTAATATGTTTTCCCAGTTTTTTGTGGTAAAATTAGGTGCCTCGGCTTACATTTGGGTCGGCTTATACTCGGGTATATACGTTAAGTCTTAAATCTGCTGTTAGATTTCTTTTTCCTGCTTCCATTTCCCACTTTATGCTTAAGCTACAATCCTGCTATTTCTTAGAGTACTGTTTCCTAGGAAATGGCAAAAGGTTTGAGTTACCTGAAAGATAGCATGAAACTACAGTTATGAGAGATGTCCTGTTTTCCTACCTTCATGGGGCAAGTCTTTTTATCCACAGTCCTTTGAGCTGCCGATTCGAAACAGTATGCCACCCTCTTGCCAGGAGGCCAGTGAACAGGGGCCAGCTTCTCCATAAACTCCTCCAAGGCAATGACTCGGTGATATTTCAGCAGCGGTGCCAGCTTGAAGTATTCTTTGTAAGGGACGTGCTGCTACAACAGAGAGAATAGACAGGCTTCAAGCCAGCTTCCCACCTATATGAAGTGAACACACGACTGCTCCACACCACTAGATCCAAATCAGACAAATAAGGACAGAATTCTGCCTGCTGACATAGTGATTCATATGTTTAAGGCACCATGTTTGAGAAGAGAGCTTAGTATGAAAAATGCACAGAGCCGAAATATCTAAGAACTACTCACATTTGTGTAGGGAGGCCTGTGATACCGGTACTCAATCCAGGGGGGCACAGCTAAGGTCCGATTCAACATCCTAGCAAACGCCAAAGAGCCCAGAAAATGGTCTGCTTGGTTCCCAAATCTCCCTTTGAAATAGAAAAGCACCATTTCTCAGTCACAAGACTGGGGCAGAGCATCGTACTTTGGACAGCTTTATAATGAAGGCCCTAAACAGTTCTGGCCCAACTTACCTGTCTGAACGTATCTCCCCTTACAAACCATCGAGAACTTTAAGAACATCTGGGGAGGCTCTGCTCTCAGTCCCGCCTTTGTCACAAGTACGTTTGGCGGGGACGAGAGACAGGGTCTTCTCAGTGGTGGCCCCTCGGCTATGGAACAACCTCCCTAGGGAGATCAGATCTGCTCCCTCACTCTTAATGTTTCGTAGGCAAGTAAAAACATGGTTGTTCGAGCAAGTGTTTTAACAAATATAAATTTATTAGTATTTCAGTGGGAAGTGTGGACCTGTTTTTGGCTGATGAGATAGGATTGTTCTTGTTGTTGTGTGCTTTTAAGTCATTTCAGACTTAGGTTGACCCTGAGCGAGGGCCGGATAAATGACCCTGAAGGGCCATATCCGGCCCTTAGTTTGAGGACCCCTGGTGTATTGTCTATAGAAAGCGGCATTGAATGTTTGCCGTGTATGTGTACTGTGATCCACCAGTCGTTGTGCCTACAAGAAGACCTACAAGCCACTCTAAACACCTTCGCAGAAGCATACGAGAAGTTCGGCCTGTCATTAAACATCAAGAAAACCAAAGTGCTCTTCCAGCAGTCACCGACCAATCCCTCTCCAATGCCAGATATACAGCTTAATGGTGTAACATTAGGAAATGTGGACCATTTCCACTCCCTTGGCAGCCACCTCTCTACCAAAGTCAACATCGACACCAAAATACAACACCGCCTGAGCTCTGCGGGTGCAGAATTTTCCGAATGAAGCAGAGAGTGTTTGAGGACCAGGACATCCGTAGGGATACCAAGGTGCTTGTTTATAAAGCTATTGTCCTCCCAACCCTGCTATATGCCTGCGAGATGTGGACTGTCTACAGACGTCACATGCAACTCCTGGAACGATTCCATCAGCGCTGCCTCCGGAAAATCCTGCAAATCTCTTGGGAAGACAGGCGGACAAACGTCAGCGTGCTGGAAGAAGCAAAGACCACCAGCATTGAAGCAATGGTCCTCCACCATCAACTCCGCTGGACTGGCCACGTTGTCCGGATGCCTGACCACTGTCTCCCAAAGCAGTTGCTCTACTCTGATACTAATACAGCTACAGATACAGATACTAATTCAGCTACAACCTACAATGTTGCAAAGTTCTGTGCAGCAGCATACAAAATCCGTCAGGGAATGACTAGTCCCAAAGTCAACTGTGTGTCCAGTAATCTTCTTCCCTGAATCTGCAATTTGGTGATGGATCTGGGCATTGTATGTTTTTATCCTGTTTCCCCTTCTGCTCCCTCACCCATATTGTGCTTCAGTAGTTATATTTATATTTTTAATGTACCAAACATACCAAGTTTGTATGAAAATGTGACTCTATTTCCTGTGCTGGTCAATGACCGAAATAAATGATTTGAAATTTGAAATTGAAACTCTGCTGGACCGGCCACGTTGTCTGGATGCCTGACCACCGTCTCCCAAAGCAGTTGCTCTATTCCGAACTCAAGAACGGAAAATTGAACGTGGAGGACAGAAAAAGAGATTTAAAGACTGGCTCAAAGCCAACTTTAAAAACTCTAGCATAGACACTGAGAACTGGGAAGCCCTGGCCCTTGAGCACTGCAGTTAGAGGTCAGCTGTGACCAGCAGTGCTGTAGAATTTAGTAGTCCTTTAATTGGTCCTGGAATTGAGTGGCACCAGTCCCCTAGTAGGGCCATTGCTGAGACCAATCCTTGTAGTATTCACGCAGTCCCATTTTTTTCCTTCTCCTTAGCCCAGCCCGTTCCAAATAGTCCAGGCCCCTTATTGACATCTTTGCCCCTGGCAGCTTAAGTAGCATGAAGAAGAGAGCAGAACTGGTTTTAAATTGATCTTAATGTATATGTTGCATTAACAGTTTATGTCTATGCTTCTGTTTTATATTTTATGTTTTTGTATTATTTTGCATATGTGGAAACAGCTCTGAATCCCCTTGGGGAGATAGGGGCTATATAAATAAAGCTTTATTATTATTATTAATTCCCTTGTTTTTTGAGTGTTGGTCTTTATTTACTGTCCTGATTTTAGAGTTTAGAATCATTTCAGACTTAGGTTGACCCTGAGCAAGGGCAGGGTAAATGAACCTGGAGGGCCGTATCCGGTCCTCGGACCTTAGTTTGAGGACCCCTGGTGTATTGTCTATACAAAGTGGTATTGAATGTTTGCTGTGTATGTGTACTGTGATCTGCCCTGAGTCTCCTTTGGGATGAGATGGGTGGGAATAAAAATAAAGTATTATTATTATTATTATCTTTGCATTTCCTTTTTTTCTGTCCAAGTGGGGACTCTTGCATTTGTCCCTGTCAGTTTTGCATTGAATGGCCTTTCAGCTTCAAAGACTGGCTTTGAAGATTGCCTGGGGGAGGGAATTCTTTGTTGGGAGGTGTTAACTGGCCCTGACCGATTCTTGTCTGGAATTCCCTTGCTTTTGTAGTGTTGCTCTTTGTTTACTGCCCTGATTTTAGAGTTCAGAATCTGAGTGGGGCCTGCAAATGCCACTCAACAACAACAATTCTTTATTGATTAGTCAATTTTGACCGTATCAAAACATGCAAAACATACAAATCATACACATATAGTAAAACCATATATGAATACAAAGCATCATGTCCTACTGGCCTGTCGACCCACTCCTAAATAATTGAGCAACTACAAGATAAAGACGTTAAAAGATTAAAAATTAATTCCTTAAAATAGGGTTAGGGTGGGGGGCTTGGGTAGGTAAAACTAGTGGCGTGTCCATATTAAGTTTTTAAGTTTGAGTTTTGTTGATGGCAGCAAGGTCGCCTCTCTCTGCTTCCATCTTCTCACGGATGGCCAGCGCTTTTTGGGTAAAAAGGGTCAATTTTAAGATAGAGTTTTTATCTGAACCCTGAAGGAGGATGTGCAATTTCTCCTTATTCTCTAAATGAATATGGTTCTCCAGCAGAGGCTCTAGGTAGTAAGACCGGATCCTGTTGTAGTAGGGACATTTTAAGAAAAAATGCTCTGAGTCCTCCACTTCTGCATCTACCTCACGGCACCCACAGGTTCTCCTCGTGTAGGGGATATTCTGATGTCGTCCCAACTTGGACTTAATGTCGAGCTGCTCAAATCTAGCCCGGGTAAAAAAAATTCTAATATAGAGTGGAAGTAGAAAAGAGAGGTAAGGTTCCATGCCCACATTACATTTAAATTTGGCCAGGTATGGAGTGGCTCTAGCTTGCGCTATGTTCGTTAGATCATTTTGTGCAGCAATGTCGAGAGCTCTTTGGTATACAATGAGTGGCTCTAGCTTGCGCTATGATCATTAGATCATTTTGTGCAGCAATGTCGAGAGCTCTTTGGTATACAATTGAGCATACATTTGCCCCAAAATTTGTTAACTCGTGGGGGGCAAAACCTAACCTACTAACTGTGTGGCCAAATCTGCTAAGCCAGGATGACCACTCTTTGTGGTTTTCTTGTTCTAGAAGGCATAGGGCTGGGAGTCTGTGTGGTTGCATTTCCCTTATTTTGTACCACCAATTGATCTGCCTCTTCAGAATTGTGGTGGAGATTGGGGGTACTCCCGTCTCTGCTCTCACTGCAGCTGACAGGGATGATCTCTCCACACCTAAGCCAATTTTCAGGTGGCGCAGTTGGAATCTCTCTACCAGTAAAGGGTCTTGCTCACCCCATATTTCAGTTCCATACAAGGCAATGGGGAACACCTTTGCCTTACTTACTTACTTACTTACTTTACTGTCCGAAGCACCCACTGGCACCAACGAACGACTCTCAACCCTCCGAATCGATCTTGCCAAAAACCAACGGGCAACCATCATAAGTGCCTATGCACCAACACTAGATGCTGACGAAGACATCAAGGAGAAATTCTACTGTCAGCTGGACACCGTCCTATCGGGGATACCTAAGGAGGACAAAATCATCCTCCGGGGGGACTTCAATGCAAGAGTCGGGCGAGACTTCGACCTGTGGCCAGGGACCATCGGAAAAGACGGGGTTGGAAACAGCAACTCAAATGGCATCCTGCTTCTCACCAAATGTGCGGAGCACAACCTTGTCATCACCAACACACTCTTCCGCCAGAAAAACAAGTTCAAGACATCATGGAAGCACCCCCGGTCAAAGCATTGGCACCTCTTAGACTATGTAATCACACGCGCCAGAGACCGCCGTGACGTGCTCCTCACAAGAGCCATGACAGGTACCTTTGCCTTAAGAACCTTCAGAAAGGGGCGCAGAGAGCCCGGGTGATTGTGGTTGCATAATTTATGAATTGCCTGTGCAGCATTATCAGCTTTTGCAATACTTATACAGTCTGGGTGTCCTCTTGGATTCTTCGCTCACACTTGAGGCTCAGGTGTCGGCGGTATCCGGGAGGGCCTTTGCACAATTGAGACTTGTGCGCCAGCTGCGACCGTACCTCGCGAAGGCTGATCTGGCCGGGGTGGTCCATGCCTTGGTCACCTCTAGAATGGATTACTGCAATGCGCTCTACGTGGGGCTGCCCTTGAAGACGGCTCGGAAACTTCAATTGGTCCAGCGGGCAGCAGCCAGGATGCTAACCGGGGCTCATTATCAAGAGAGGTCTACCCCTCTGTTTAAGGAGCTCCACTGGCTGCCATTTATTTTCCGAGCCCAATTCAAGGTGCAGGTGCTCACCTACAAAGCCCTGAACGGTTTGGGACCACCCTACCTGCGGGACCGCATCTCCATCTACGAACCCACACGCTCACTCCGGTCATCTGGGGAGGCCCTGCTCGTGATCCCACCCACGTCGCAAGCGCGCTTGGTGGGGACACGGGACAGGGCCTTTTCTGTGGCGGCCCCCCGACTTTGGAATGCCCTTCCAAAAGATCTTCGACAGGCTCCTACTTTAGCAGCTTTCAGAAGGAACCTAAAAACTTGGCTGTTCCGATGTGCCTTCTCAGATTAGGAATTCCCCATCCCAAGTCCTAGAAGCACTTTAGTACAATTAATATTGCTGCACACCGCACTATTTTTATCCTACGTGCCTCCTGCCATTTCAGCACTTTTAACCCTGTACCCCATTGCTCTGGCCGGCCCAGTTTTTAAAGTGTCCTGACGTATTGTCACTGTTGTTGTTATTCTGCTTAACTATTTTGATTTGCTTTGTTTATTGCTGTGTTATGTTTTTTTACTGTATTGTGTTCTGAGGCTTCGGCCTGTGTAAGCCGCATCGAGTCCCTCGGGAGATGCTAGCGGGGTACAAATAAAGTTAATAATAATAATAATAATTTTAGATGTTGGGTCCATGCCCCTGATGCCGCAAAATGAAGACCTAAGTATTTAAATGTCCTCACTTGCTCCACTTTGTGCCCGTCAAGGTGCCAAATGCCACTCAAAATCCTGACCAAGGCCTTGGATGACAGGAGAGAAGGCCCTCACCCATGCAGGGGCAGTAGAGAAGGTATCCCGCGGGGTCCCAGCCGCTCTCCGCATCGCTCCCGTCTCCGAGGACGAAAGGGAGAAGAAGCTGGAGGAGGAGAAGCCATGAAGTCCTGCAACCCGCCATCTTTCTTTCTTTCTCTTCCTGAGCCAAAGGAGTCGCACTTTCCCCTCGTTTCCATGGCGACCGGGGGCATTCCCGGCATGCCCAGCGAGAGCGCATGCGCACACGCGCCCTCCAAGGCTGAAGCATCAAAAGAGGCCTGCTCCTCTCGGGCTTCCGGTCTGGCCCGGAAGTGGCGCCATGGTAGGCCTTGAGGGGCGCGAGCGAGGAAAATAAAGGCCGCCGAGGAAGGAGACTCCGGCCATGGCGCCTCCGCCTCCCTCGGAGGCATCGGCAGGAGAGCGGCGAGACGCGGAGAGGCGGGAGAAGCCAGAGGGAGGCGCTCCCACCGGGCGGGTGAGTGAGTGAGGCCTACGGCGTGTGCACGGCCAAGCGAGGCATAGGCCAGGCCTGGGCCAACTTGGGCCCTCCGGGTGTTTTGGACTTCAACTCCCACAATTCCTAGCAGCCGTAGGCTGCTAGGAATTGTGGGAGTTGGAGTCCAAAACACCCGGAGGGCCCAAGTTGGCCCAGACCTAGCCTAGGAGATCCCAACCCCATGCTCCCTTCCTAGGACACAGTAGAATCATTGCAGTTTGACACTTTGGGAAAATTTTGTAAAACTATACATTTTGGAGGTTATAACTCTTTAGGAAAAGTATGACCTTTCAGAGAAGAGCCACAATCAGCAGTAACAATAGTCCAACATGATTCCCAGAGGCCTGCTGCATTTCTTGCAAAATACACCCCAGGATTGGAAGACAGTGCAAGTGAGAGCAGTGTTTCTCAACCTTCCTCATGCCGCGACCCCTTAATACAGTTCCTCAGTTGTGGTGACCCCCAACCATAACATTAATAATGTTCAATAATAACTATCAAAGTAGACCATTCAGGTTCAGGTAGGAAAAAGCCTTTCCCAGTATAAAGGGCATTTCTCCACCAAGAAAGTACCATATCGACTTAAGTCTAAGGTGCTATTAAATCTAATTAACATCTCAATTTTCAAACCCCTGAAACCAAAAACAAAGTATTTGCTGATAAATCTAATGCACATTAGCCAAATATTTAGCTCTTTGTCATTTGGCAAAAAAGGTGTGCATTACATTTGCTGTAGGCTTAGAATTGCTTCTTTCACAACAGAGGTGTTAGATTACCAAAGCTTCCAGCAACAGAAAAGAAACCTTGAGGTGCATCTATGCTGTAGAATGAATCCACTTTAACTGCCCTGGTTCAATCCTGTGAAATTATGTAGTTTTACTAGGTCTTGAGTTTTCTCTGCCTTAGAAGGCTGATGCCTCACCATACTACAAATCTCAGGATCGAATAGTTTGTTTTTGTTTTTTGTCGTGTCAGGAGAGACTTGAGAAACTGCAAGTTGCTTCTGGTGTAAGAGAATTGGCCGTCTGCAAGGACGTTGCCCAGGGGATGC